AATGAAGGGAATGGTAAAAAAAACTTAATTTTCATATTGTGATGAAACTAAAAAGTTTTGGTTAATTTGCAGTATAAGCACCAGAAGCCCACAGTAATGAAAATGTTCCATTATGGTGTGAAATTACCTGATTATTTCGAAAATGACATTACAAGTTTGCGCTCTATTACCGTTTAGGAGTTATGGACAATATAAGTTCGACTTCTTTCACGTCGCGTCGACAGAACGGCTGGCATGAGTTAAAAATAAAATGAATGCGCGATTCCAAATATAGCAGCAAAAATGAAAAAGAAAACAAAAAAAAAAAAACAAACAAAACAAACGAAAAATAAAATCAAAATTACGTTCCTGAAAGGGTAAAAAAAGTTTTCTTTTTTTTTTTTTTTTTCAACGATGTTTTTTTTTTGTGTGTTGTGAAAGTTTCCTTAAAATCCGACAATTAAAATAAAATAGAAATTACGTGTCTGCAGTGAAAAAGTTTGAAAAATGATGTTTTCCTTTTTTCAACGATGTTTTTTTTTGGGGGGGGGATAATATATAAATGAAATAGGTGAACCGTTCACCTATGACATAGAAAAGTTTTCAGTTGTTTCTATAACAAATTTAAACCAATTTAATAAAAAAAGAATTCATTATTTAATAAAGCTTCACTTTTACAAGGAAATAATACTTTTGATTGGAAAAAAGTAATTTATACCAATTAAATAAAATAAAAACTATTCATTTAAAGTTTCATTTAAGAAAAAGAAAGCGCATTTTAAAATAACTTTCGCGAAAATTGCGCAGTAATCAGGATGAGTAAGAAGATACGAAAAGCAGTAAAAAGGCTGTGTAATAAGCTTCCGCGCATTATTACTCGAGGTAAACAAATGTAAACAACGCCAGTAATGGCGGTCGAACAATGCGAAAGAGATCGAATTTACATTGTCAATAAATCCTAAACGGTTATAGAGTACAAACCTTTAATGTCATTTTCGAAATAATCAGGCAATTTCACACCATAATGCACATTTTCATTACCGTGGGCTTTTGGTGCTTATACTGCAAATTAACCAAAGATTTTAGTTTTGTTTGAAAGTAAAAAAAAAAGTAAAACCCACTTCAAGAATTCAATTGTCAAATTAACTTTTGTTTTATTTTTTCCTTCACAACAAATAACTTTGTTAGTTATGCCAGTGGCGACTTCAACTGGAATAGAAGCTAAAAAATCAAATTACTTACTTTTCAATTTTCAATGTTGGAAACGTGTCTTTTTCCGAGAATAAGGAAACTAAAAGTAAAGTAAAAATGAAACAAATTTTTTTTTTTCTAATAAAAATATATTTGTCTTGTTGCTGTTTAAAATCACATGATACCATTTCCTAGTTGGAGACAGTTGTCTGTTTGAGAACTTAAAAGGCCTTGGTCAAGTTGTGGACTTTAAAATTACGGTAGGTAGATTAGAAAGAAAAACTATGAAACTTGTTTATGTTTACAACTAAGTTAGAGTTTTTATTTCAAGTATCTGCTAACTTTCACTTAAACTTCAAGTGACAGCAAGTTTCGTTAGTACGCCCCCGTCAGTATTTATTTATTTATTTTTATTGGATTTCCCCACTAAAGAATCCAGACCTTTTCGCAAGCATGTGAGACACGGGGAGTAAAAAATCGTCCTTCTTACCCAACTATAATAACCATGAGATATTGAGAGGAGGTTTGAGTTTCCCTTTCAATAAATATTATTTTTAACTTAACTTAAGTTACCTATCCTATAGAACTCAGTCTTCTTCAGAAAGTAGGCGATAATGAACCGCCCGTGACATCTTCCTATCTCTTGTAGCTCTTAATAAGTTTTTTTGTCTTTTTACTATTTCTCACAACCCATGTTCTGCCATACATTTGCTCAAGGCTCAAACCCATCAAGTATGTTACGCACTGTTATTCCTCTGTCTCTCTTTCTCTCAATCTGTCCTGTGAGGATTAGATTTTCTAAGCCCTCCTTCCACATTACGTTCCCAGAAATTTCAACTGCCTCTTTTCGTAGTGTTTTTTTTTTTTTTTTTTTTTGTTTTTTTTAATCTGTTTTTCTCCAGGATTCTTACAATTTTGTCACAAGTTCACTTGTATCTTTGCTGTGAAATTTTCTGATGTAAGAATCTGCCTTGTATCTGTCAGGTCTGATTTACGACCTCTGCCAGAACCGTCCTTTGAAGTCGGATACTATGCTTATTCCGTTCTCGTCAACGGCACATCCTTGACTCCTGTCTGATCTTTTCCTCACGGATATGCCTCAGCCCTCTACTAGATCGCTGATAGCAGTCATTTTTATTGAAAAAGTGACCGTGATATCAGCTCCAGCCGAAATTTGACATTGGCTGGCAAACTTGTTTCTCATTGGTATATTGTCATCCACAGACAGACTGTTTCGTTGTATCACAGCTCATCAGTGTGACTTGATGTCTGGTTGCCTCTAGCTAGGATCGAAACCTGACTGAATTGGCATCACTCGGGGATTCTACAACAGGGATTGGTGCACGGTAGGGATGAAGGTGAATTTATGCGAAAAACGGATGTCATCATTTGTTGAACAGGCACCCCTACCCTATCTTAACTTAACCTCATTTTGAAAGTAACTTATATTTTGATACAATAGTTGTCAGTGAAAATGAATACCCCACCACTCCTTGTCAAAATTATTGAATTTCCCTGTATCCTTAGAAACTAATATTATTATGCTTATAAAACTCAGTAAATTTCAAAATAAGATATCCCAAAACTTGCTTGAAAATGAAACAACATTAGGGATTTTGATTTAATTCTTAATTAAATTTGAGATTTTTAGTTTCTGTTTTTGAAACATGGTAATTCCTGTGTAGCGATGGAACCATATTTTTAAATTAGTAAATTTATAATATATATATATATATATATATATATATATATATATATATATATATATATATATATATATAAACCCTCTCAAGTATTCAAAAAAACTAAAATCCAAAACAAAATAAAAATCCAAAACACTTCAAACAATTTTGGTGGTTCACCTCTTGAGCCTAAAAGGCCATAAAGAATGCACAAAATTTAACACACAAACCATCTAGCCCTTCTAAGGAATAAACTTTTCTCAAAATGTGTATAAAAAAACAACATAGACGATTATACATAGATCTTTAATATTGTTTTACAAATAATAAAATAAAATTTTTATAATATCGGTATTAAGTAAAAACTATATTTACTAATCATAAATGGAAAACATTACTACATCCACCAGTATTTTAAAAAGAATTTTGAATTTTTTTGTGTGTATGTATAAATGTGCAGATTTTTGTAAATATGTACGTCCATACACGACATAATCAGAAAATAAGATCGGTAACTTTTGTAAATGTAAACTTAAAGCCAAAGTACCTAAAATTCAATGAAACATTAGATTATGGAGAATATTTTTCTGGATTCCAAAATTACCTCATATGGGGAACAGGCTTATTTCAAGTGACGAAAAATTTGGCAGTCTTATCCAACTCCAGTGTGGACTGAATTCATGTTGGAATTAGAAGACTGATGAATTTTCCGTCGGTTGAAATAAGCCTATTCCCTGTATGAGGTAATTTTGAATTTTATTGTGTACTAATTATTTGCTTTGTAATAAGAAATACAATGAGTTCTTTTTGTGGATCAGTTTTAATATTTTATATTTCTAGGATCCACTTGGATTATATACCAACAGATTTTTTACCTTTACTTATATATATATATATATATATATATATGTAAAACAAATAGAAAATGTTTATCAATCTAAGATATTTCAGTTTTATTAAAACTTTATCAGAAAATAAGATATGGAGAAAATAATTCTGATATTTTTATTTTTGTTTGGTTAATCAGGCTTCACATGCATTTGACTTGTTAAGCAGCATTAGTATAATTTATGGCATTCTGAACTGATGAATGCATCATTTGTTCTTTAGTTTGGAATGCCATAACATATTAATGCAGTTTAACAAGTCACATGAAGCCTGATTAACCAATGAAAATCAATCAACACAAAAATCTCATTCTCTGAAGAAGCTTTAATAAAAGTGAAACATGTTAGATTAATAAACATTTCCTATTTGCTCTTTATCTTATCATTCTATCAGATTTCTATCCATATCTGATCCTAATTGATATATATATATATATATATATATATGTATATGTATATATGTATGTATGTATGTATATATAAAGGGTATTTGAATAACTTGTACAGATTTTAAATGTGAATTAAATTTCAGCATCTAATGAGTGGAAGTGTGCTGCCAAAGCCTTGGGAGACATTTCAGCAATAGTATTTTTCACACATAATTTCCATGACTTGAATAACATGATCCAATAGAGAAATAAATAAATTTTCACCAATAACACTGATTTATTTACTGCTGACTTTGATCCATCTTAATGAAACACCCTTAATTCACATTCAAAATCAGTCCAAGTTACTGAAACACCCTTTATATAAATAAAAAGAGAACTGGCAATAAATTTGTGAAAACACTTCTGCCAAAATAATCATATAAAGTGATTGTGTCTTTCATATTTTCCCTTATGAACAGATCAGAAAGAAACGACCAAATTGATAAAATATTAATCAGGAACAGGAAAATCAGCATTCTATAGTTCATCAAGAAAGCAACATGGATAAAAAGAATGGTGACAACTCTGATGAACATAATGAAAAGGTGCCCTGCCCATATTGTCACAAGAGAATTAAACACTTAGGAATGCATCAATCAAATTGTCCCTTAAAATTGCAAAGTGACGAAGATTGTAATATTGCTGCAAAAGGACCGGCTTCAGTCAAAGATCTAGAAAAACAGACAAGTGAAGCTCAATTCAAATTTAATAATATTTTGAAAATTGTTCAATTAAAACGAGAGGATAACAATAAAATGATAAAAATTGATGCACTGATGGCACATTCTTTGCAAATATTGAATTCTTGTAAGCCCCTAAAATGGATACAGATGAACAGCGGATCATATTATTCAAACGTGAAGGTAGGTTTGGATTTGTCTTTCTAATATATATATTTTTTATAAAGATATAAGTGCAGATATTTAATTTCATTTTGGCTTTCTGATTTGACATGTTTTCTATATTTAAATAATCTATAAATAATTTATAATAACAAATAAGGAATTCAATATTAATAATAATAATAATAATGTCAAGAAATTGTCCAAATACAAGGACCTGTAGATCGAGATTAACAGGATGTGGGGAATAAAGACTGAGACAGTACCAATAGTAATTGGAGCTCTGGGCCTTGTGAGAAAAGGAATGGACAATTTTACTAACAGTGTCCATGGTAACATCAATATACAAGTTGCCCAGTAGATTTCCCAACTAGGAACATCCCATATACTAAGATAAGAGCTATCAATTAAATGACAATTCTTCTTTAGGGCCTAAGGACCATAGTTTGGACCCGGCTCTACAGGATACAAAGCAGGAAACACAACATACATAAATAATAATAATAATAATAAGGATCTTGAAATCGAAATCTCAAAAATGTGGCTCATGAGGACATTAACAATTCCACTTGTAGTTGGAGCCCTTGGAGTAAATGGAAAAGATTCTAATAGACTCATTGAAGTTATTCCTGATAGCCCATGCCTTAAAGAAATACAAATAATTGTACTCATGAGTACAGCCCACACCTTATAAAGAGCTTTATCTATGTAAATTATGTGTGATTTTTTTTTTCAAAACTGCTCAGTGGAAAAATGTCCTGAAAATGTCATGATGCCATTTCTGATCTTAGGTCTCTGGTTGGGAACCAAAAAGAAATGAGTATACACCAGAAATTAACGGAAATAATAATAATAATAATAATAATAATAATATTACAGTTAAGAGAAAAGCGTGATTAAAGAAAAAAGTAAGAAAAAAAAACATAGTGTTTGACAATGTTAAACAATATTTCAACAATGTCTGTCTTCAAAAAATTTTTTTCAAGTATAAAAATGGGTAAATCTACAAAAAATTAGTCTTTGTACAAACGTTGCTTGTTTTGTAATGAAAAAACTGCTGTCCTGGTAATGAACGCATCAAAATGAATGAAACACCATCAGTGTGAAAGCATGCAACTGAAACATAATAATAATAATAATAATAATAATAATAATAATATCAATATTAAAACACAAATTTTTCTTCAAAAGGTGACCATTACAATGATTTTCCTTTGATATATGCCACACACCAAATACATGGTTTAAACAACAGAAAAATTAAACAAAAGTTTTAATACTGTAGGTGTAATATATGTCACTGTAATATATGTCACTGTAATATATGTCACAACAATGTGACATAAACAAAACTTACAGAACATTTTGTCACAAATGACTGTAATTTTGATGAACATCTTAAAGAACACATTCTGCATTAATTTATAATGATACTACTATTAATACTACTAATAATATTAATTCATAATAATAATAATAATAATAATAATAATAATATTAATATTAGTTTTAATAATAATAATAATGTCAATATTAATTTATAATGATAAAAAAAATCAATATTAATTATTAAAAACAATAATAATATCAATATTAATTTCAATAATAATAATATCAATATTAATTTTTAATAGTAATAATATCAATATTAATTTTTTAATAATAATAATATCAATATTAATTTCAATAATAATAATAATATCAATATTAATTTATAATAAGAATATCAATATTAATTTGTAAAAAATAATAATATCAATTTATAATAAGAATATCAGTATTAATTTTTAATAATAATAATAATAATAATAAAATCAATATTAATTTATACTAAGAATATCAATATTTTAATAATATCAGTATTAATTTATAATGATAAGAATATCAATATTAATTTTTAATAACAAAGACAATAATAATAATAATAATATCAATATTAATTTTAATAATAATAATATCAATATTAATTTTTAATAATAATAATAATATAAATATCAATTTATAATGATAAGAATATCAATATTAATTTTTAACAACAATGATAATAATAATAATATCAATATTAATTTGTAAAAATATTAATAATATCAATTTATTATAAGAATATATTGGTATTCATTTTTAATAATAATGATAATAATAATAAAATCAATATTAATTTATACTAAGAATATTAAAATTTTTAATAATAATATCAGTATTAATTTATAATGATAAGAATATGAATATTAATTTTTAATAACAATAATAATAATATCAATATTAATTTTTAATAATAATAATATCAATATTAATCTTTAATAATAATAATAAGAATATAAATATTAATTTATAATGATAAAAATATCAATATTAATTTTAATAACAATGATAATATCAATATTATTTTTAATAATAATAATAATATCAGTATTAATTTATAATGATAAAAATATCATTAATTTTGAATAACAACAACAACAATAATAATAATAATAATAATATCAATATTAATTTTTAATAATAATAATAGTAAGAAGAATGATAAGAATATCAATATTAATTTATAATGATAAGCATGTGATATCCTGATGCAACCCCCATCTGTCTAAATCCCTCTTAAGCTGTGAGGGAGACACTTCTGGCCAAATGTGTGGGCTTTTCTGTTGCGCAATCAAACACACACACCTTTGGGAAGAGAAAAGGAATACAGGGAAGATGATGACCTGGATGCGAGCAGATGCCAACTACCAATCTATATATTAAATTGTTTGTAACTATATACAGTACATGTCACACTTGGTATCACAGATACTGAGAGGCAAATAGGAAGAGAGAGGGCCATAGAGAGTAAAAGAGAAAGAGAGAGAGAGGGATTTAGAATGATAGAAAGAGTGTATGACACAGAGGGATTGGAATGGGGGGGTCATCTTACATAATGTTAGTTGTTTTTAAAGGAGAGTCAAATCATATTTCGTGACTTAATCTGTTGATAAATTTGCTACCGAACTACGAGTGAATTCCTTTTTAATCTGATAGTGTTACAGACAAAGGGCGGCAACTTTGTAACTGCCATTTTGGGAGTAATCAATTTATAATAAATCTCTATCACAAACAGAGCACCAATTTTAAAGCATAAAAGTGTAGTTAGAATTTAAAATCGGGCTATGTAAGTTAAATACATATAATTTATATTTATTATATTCCATTTTATGGAAAATGATTTCAGATTATTAACAAAAATGTGCCACATCATAGCACATTTCAGAAATTTTAAGAGACTATGACACTTTTCTTATAAAAACCTGGAAATTGTCATTGATTGAAATGTACAGTCTGCAGCATTAATTAAGTAGTAAATCTGTGCTTCTAAAATAATAATAATATTAATTTACAATAATAATAATAATAATAATAATAATTAATAATAATAATAATAATAATAATTTATAATAATTTATAATAATAATAATAATTTATAATAATAATAATAATTTATAATAATAATAATAATTTATAATAATAATAATTTATAATATTAATTTTAATTTATAATAATAATAATAAAATAAATATGTATATTAATTTATATTATTAATAATAATATAAATATTAATTTATAATAATAATAATACTAATTTATAATAATAATAATAATATTAATTTATAATAATAATAATATTAATTCTTAATAATATTAATTTATAATAATAATAATATTAATTTATTAATAATATTAATTTATAATAATAATAATAATTTATAATACTAATAATAAAAATAATATGTATATTAATTTGTATTATTAATAATATTGATATTAATTTATAATAACAATACTAATATCAATATTGATTTATAATAATAATAATAATAATATCAATATTAATTTATAATAATAATGTTATTGATATTAATTTATAATAATAATAGTAATATGACTTAATTTATAATAATAATATCAATATTCATAATACTAATAATATCAATATTAATTTATAATAATAATAATATTAATTTATAATAATAATAATATTAATTCTTAATAATATTAATTTATAATAATAATAATAATTTATAATACTAATAATAAAAAAAATATGTATTATTAATTTGTATTATTAATAATAATATCGATATTAATTTATAATAACAATACTAATATCAATATTGATTTATAATAATAATAATAATAATATCAATATTAATTTATAATAATAATGCTATTGATATTAATTTATAATAATAATAGTAATATGACTTAATTTATAATAATAATATCAATATTCATAATACTAATAATGTCAATATTAATTTATAATAATAATAATAATAATAATATCAATATGAACTGATGATGATGATGATGATGATGATGATGATGATGATGATGATGATGATGATGATGATGATAAAAATAATAATAATAATAATAATAATATTATCAACATTGTTTTTGTCTATTTGACTTTTGTATGATAGTACAGGGTGCCCCTAATGTCTGGACACATAGGAATATTTTCAAAGAAATAAAATTTTCAATAGCATTTTATTGAATTGTAATATTAACAAATAAAATCTTGTTTATGCCCCAGTAGGTCTTATTTGTTACAGAAAGTATATTATACTTACAATGTTTTGACCATTGTCCTCTCTGTACTTCTTCAGTAACTTTTTTCTTATTGCTCATTTGCATTGTTTATATGGGAACTTAAACTAACTTTTCACCAATGATGTATTGTTTATGCCCCATTGGGTCTTATTTGTTACAGAAAGCATATGGTCCTTATCCACTTGAGTAGATGTTTGATAATTGACATTTAAAACAAAATCAATTCCTTTTCTGTTATATTCCCTGCTAATAGGAATATATGCTTGACAAACATGGTGGATAAATAAGTAAAGGTTTTTTGTAAAAACCAGTACAATAAGAAATAAGGTAAAAGTTATACACACAATTGTTGCAAGTCAATCCAGTAGTGAGTGTTGCTATTGGAAGGTCGGTAGTTCTTGCGTAAGTCTGAGTTGTACTTAACAAATGCCAGCAAGTCTCCTGTAGTCTGTTGCCTTACAGATACTTATAGGTAGTTACAAGCTATAGTGTGGTCACTCATGGGGGTGACAGGTTATTCCATTACATCATTTTTTAAGGCCATCAATGTTTTAATGTAAACAAACTACACTGTCTAGTAAGTCCACTAACATAATTCACTGAACCTATTCTGACCAAATAACGCCTTGAATATGAAAAATTGATCTTTATAAAAAATGAATTAGTGTTTTTCAAGATTATTTTCTTATTTCAAGCAAGAAAATAATTAATTATTAGTCATTATTTTATTTTTGTCTTCTATTTCTTCTTCCATATGCGAAGTCCTTTCAGGATTTTGGCTGTAGAGTGAATGGCCATGGTTAAAGAGAAAATAAATGACAGAACTGTCCAGCAAACAGAATTGACAAAATTTGCAATAAACAACAACAATAAAAAGAAAAAAGAACAGGGCAAAAGAGTATAAAACAAGCAAACAATATATACAAGACAAATTAACAGTAATAAGGCAAAGCAACAGTAATATAGCAAAACAACAGCAGTATGACAAAATGTTCGCAAACTAAGAATTGGAGTTGAGACAAAGGATTGAACACAACATTCTGACTTCAAGGCAAGACAGACCAGGACTAAGTCAGATGACACCAAGAACTGACCTATTTTATTGGCTATGAAGAAATCCCAGCATGCATTTGTGTGCTTCTACCTATAAATTGGGAAGGGGAAAGTTTTTTTGCAATTATTCTTAGTAGGATTGCAACCAACATTGGCAATCATGGCTCTCCTTAATTTCCTGTTAATCCTGGGTATGACAATAAACTACATCCAGCAGAAGGCTTCTGATTTTTAGATTGAAGATTTTGAGGAGCGTGCAACCACCTCTTAATTTCTGCTGTTACCAGGTCTCCTCTGTAGTAGCACATGTTAGGGTCCCAGCTATGGACAAATAGTGAACCACCAAACTGGGATCAAAATGCTAGGAAGATGTAAAAATACATTATTATCGTAAAAATAGCCAGTTCAGGGCATCTGGTTTTTGTCTAGAGAATCTTTGTCTGAAAAAAAAATAGGCTACATGAAAGTTGCAGTGTTCAAAGACTTTCTACATAAACAGAAAGATCTACATCCATGGAAGACAACTGGGACAAAGCTACTCCAGTCAGTCAGTAAAGCCCGTCTTGTCCTCTGGCCATTAGAGATACAAAACTAACTTTTCTTAGCGTCAGAAGAATGAAGATGAGTTAAAAATTCACTGATTCATTTTTTGCATCTTATCAAATGTTTGTCGGTTATTTTAAAACCAAAACATATTTTACATTGTAAGAATAATTATTTATTTATATTTTGTTCACGGGAATATGGCATTAACAATTTTTATAATTTTAGTTCTAATATTTAACCCATTGATTTGGAGAGAAGTCATAAGAGTTGTACCTTTCCCAAGGTTATTTGTGTGCAAGTGAATGTAATGGATTTAACTGGGATTTGAACTCAGTTCACTAACTTCTCATTCTGAGCGAATATCCATCATACCACTTGCACATTCTGAGTTAAAAAAAAAAAAGAACAGAGCTATTTTTTTTAATAAATTTACCCAAGCAAGGCAATAATGTCACTAAGATGCAAGAGGCTACTTGGAGGGAAAGAAAATGCGAAGACTTTAGAAGGAACTGGAAACCCAACCCTGAACTGGAAGCAAGGGATAAACCTCTACTTCTGTTCAGTAGATGGGGAGGAGTGTGAACTGGGTACTTAAAGGAAAGAACAGAAATGATAGAAGAAATGCTTAGTATTGTTAGACTGACCATATGTAGTAAAAGGTCTGGAAGGAAAGAAATTTATGTGTAGACACTAGCATTCACTCCATTTACAAACTAAAACAGGTGCTTTGATATGGTGTAATGGTTAGCTAGTTTGTCTCACTAGATCAATTATGGCTGAATAATGAATAATGAAGTGGTGCCTGATATTTTTGGCCTTGTGCTACATCTAAAATATGCTTAGAAAATCATCATCTACAAACTAAAGGAAGGAAGGAAGAAGAAAGAATTGTGTAGTAGTTGCCACTAATAAATAGTTGTTTATTAGAACAAAACATTGTGGCTTGACTTAATTTTCAGCTAAAACATTTATAGACCTGTCAGATATTCACTTTGACAACACAGATTGCAACATAGCAGAAGACAGATTACTAATGATTATGGCAATATTATCTGTTTCCCTATAAGGAAACATTTGGCATTCATTGACCAAGCAGCCAGTACTGCTTTCAATGCTGCTGATAGCAGACTCAGAAAGGAAACTGAAAGAACTCTTAGATAAAATAGTAAAAGAAAATAAGAAGAAACATAAAACTAATAAATGTAAGAAAACAAAATCCATGGTCGTCAACAAAAGAGGTGTGAACTACATATTGGGGACATAAAAATGAAGGATGTGCAGAAATGTAACTATTTGAGTTGTGTAGTAACAGACAATGTAATGACAGAGGACAGTAAGTGGGACATCGAAATCTGTAGGTGTATCAGGATAGCCAAAGACACGTTTCAAAAACTGGGCAGAGTATTGTGAAACAGGAGAATTTCTTTGGTAACAAGGAAAAGAATACTGAACTGTTATGTGACATCTGTCCTTCTTTACAGCATCGAATGTTGGACAATTTCCTCAAAGATGAAGAAGTGACACAAGGTGACAGAAATGTGGTTCTACAGAAGGATGCTAAGGATATCAAGGACCAAACAGGCAGATGAAGTTTCTGGGACAAATAATGAAGAACAAGGGCCTAGAGAATCTAATACTCACAGGTCGAATACAGGGAAAGAGAGACAAGAGAAATGTGTAACATACCTGGCAGACTTAAGCAAATGGATGACACAATATGGTCTAAGGGAGGAAGCAGAGGGAAGAACTTGTTGAGAGCTGCAAGATTGCAGAGCTATGATTGCGTACGTCCTGAAAGGATATGGCACATAAAAATAAAAGAAAGAAGGTAACAGACTTTGGAAAATGTGATGCAGAAATCCAAAGATGCATAGTTGAATATGACTTTTACAAACTAAACACTGTATTAATGGTAATGATAATAGTATTATTAGCCGTTTCCCTATAAGGAAACATTTAGCATTTATTGACTGAGCAGCCAGTACTGTTTTTGGTTGAAATTTATAAAATCTTTCTGTGTTGTTTGTTTAGCGGCATATCAATTCTTTATGGGTCATTTAATGCCAAAATATAATTTCCTTGGGAGCATTAGTAATTTCTTTTAGAAAAATGTTAAGCAATGTCTAGTCTGATCAGTACCTAGATGGGTGACGGCTTGATGACAATATGACACTGCCTAAGAATGAGGATTTTGAGTTTATTTGTTTAGCGGCATATCAACTCCTTATGGGTCATTTAACGCCGAAGTTTAATTTTCTTGGGTGCATTAGTAAATTTCTTTTACAAAAGTGTTAAGCAATGTCTAGTTTGATCAGTACCTAGATGGGTAACCACTTGATGACAACATAACACTGTCTAAGAATGAGGATTTTGAGTTCATTTGTTTAGTAGCATAACAACTCCTCATGGGTCATTTAATGCCGAAATTTAATTTTCTTTGATGCATTAGTAATTTCTTTATAAAAAAGTATTGCTGGTAATATTTTTTTTCTTTACAAAAATATATTGCTGGTGATTCCTTTTCTTTGAAAATGCAGTGTTGGCACTTCTACGACAAAAATTTCTGAGTGTTAACTATTTACCAATAACTGGGACCCTAACAGGTGCTACCACTCTGGGTCAAGGGGTGGTAGCACCTGTTAGCCTATTAACAGGTGGTTCCAAGAGCCTCAAAACCTCCTGATTAGAGGCCTTGTTGCCAGATGTAGTTTATTGTCATACCCAAGATGGATAAAATCTTTCTCTTAAAATAGATTTTCAGGAAAATAAGCTTTCCAATTCCAGTAGCTGTTATCATTCTTTCTAGTATTCCTGAGGGTTTCCTTCCAAATCTTTTATTTAAAGTCATGTGGAATATCAACATGTTCATTATATCATTATTTTCTCTTGAAATTACATGTGCTATCCATTTTAATTGTTGCTGTTGTTGGTAGTCCTCAAGTAATGTGATTTCTGTTATTTGGTACAGTTCTTTGAGAATCTGTAGCATCAGTCCACAGTTTCTCAAAGACAGATGATCTTTGCCAAGACTTTAAGGCTTCCTTTGCTCAAAGTTGTTTTTACCATTGATCTTAGAAAGTGGATGTATACAGCAGATATTTCTGAATGGATTTGGCACCATGCATGGCATCCATATGACATTGTGGCTAGTTGCAATATAGTGGAAACAAATTACATCTGGTGTGGTAGCATTCACAACTTGTCATTCCCCCAAGAACCAGTGAGGTTTACCGCAAGTAAATGTAACCCAACAATGATCGTGCATGCAAAGTAGATGCTTTGAGTTTTTGAAGTCTGTTTTCTGATTCCTTGTTATATCTATTTCAATATCAATTTTCCTTTTTTTTTAATAATCTGTTGATGTGTGTGAATTTGATTAAGCTAAATACCTTCTTTTATTATTTCTTCTGAAAATCACTTTTTCTAATTCTCTTTTGACAGGTGTCAAACTCAAACGAATTTGACTATATGTTCTGTCCAACCTTCATACAGTGTAGAATTGAGCAATATTTGCCCAGGCCTAATTATTGTCATGTTTTTGTAACAAACAAAATGAAGCTGCCACTTGAATTTCAAGAGCTTTTAGGTCCTGATGATGAACTCAGTCCATCAAAGTTCAAAGAGTACGTCTTCAGTGTGTTTGACTACATTGTGAGAGAAACATACAACAATCAACTTAGTAAGTAATTATTATTTTTGCAAACCTATTTTAAATTTGATAATAATGAAATATTTTCAATCATTATTAAATCTAGATTCTTTCAAATTGCAATCGGTAAATTCTCAAGATATGTCTTTAAATAAGTGAATTCATGGTGATAATGAAATTCATTCAGAGATATTTATTTCCTTGAAATGATATTTATTCTCTTGATGCAATTATTGGAATCCTGTCACAGATAACTAAAGAGATATTTTTTTTGACACAGTTATTTGAATCCTGCCATAGATAGCTGAAGAGAGATTTATTCCCTGAAAACATTTATTTGAATCCTGCCAAAGATAACTAAAGAGACATTTATTTTTGACACAATTATTTGAGTCATGCCACAGATAACTGAAGAGGTATTTATTCTCTTGACATAACTATTTAAACAAGACCTGTTTGCTGGCATTATTTATCATTCCCTATTTTTAGCTACTGGAACTATATTCACAACTCATTTTTTCCTCAGTTTTATTTCTTTATCATTCAAACTGTTGAGGAATCCTGCTTAAGATTAGAAATATTTGTCATTTATGTCAAACTTGGTCAACTTTAGAAAGAAGAAAAAAAAAAGTTAATTTTTCAACCTGTATTTTTTTCATCTTAATATGTCTTTCTTTTATTGCAAAATTGACTGTTAGTTGACGCCCTTGTTCATATGGTGCTAGAACATGTTTGCTGAAAAAAGAAATTTAAGACTTATCACAGATTTACTTTCTATTTCCAATCCAGAATTGATAGTTTGGAAAATTCTGAAAGGAAAATATAAAATTAAAGTGAAGGAAATACAAGTCGAAAAATTAATAATAATTCATGCAGCTTCATGTGGCAATAAATTTAAGACAAAGGAGAAGGTTGTTGCCACCTATTTCTCTGTTCCAAATTTGTATATGTATATGTACTATAGTAAAAAAAAAAATCAAACTAAAAATAAAGCAAGAAAAACAAAAATTTATACATAACTATAAATACTAATCCAATGTAAAGCTGCTTTGCCTCTTTGTTGCCACGAATGAGATAACTTGTGTAATCATATGATCATTTTAACAATAAAGAAGAAATACATTGTTTTGTGATAATGTGCAATTCTTTTACAAGATGGCAGCATGTTTGTGTAAAAGAAATTGATATGTCCCGTAAAGGGATATATTTGTTTGAAGTAGCAAAGTGGTTGTTGACTACTGTAAATGGGCAGGACAATCTAGCAGGTAACCGTAATGGACTGGTCCTCATCGTAGTGGTAGGCAATATGTGGTGACAATAGGTGTAGTCGTTGTACCTCCACATCAGTCTGTATTTATGGCTGACACCAGCCAATCATATTACTGTCAGGGGGAAACCAGGTGTATGCATATTCATTACATCAGAAATTTGCATATTTACTTTGATGATATTATAATGAGTGAATATTTGTGTAACTTTTTTCTTTTTGTTATCTTCATTATTATAATTCTGAAATACTATTTTTTTTTCCAGCAAGAAAAAACACTTATAGTTTAAATCCTGCTTATACAGTTGAATACAAATATGGAAGCAGTGACATTGATATTGACTGGGCTCCCTGCTTGGAAGTTCAAGAATGGCCAGACTCTTGTATGGAATGGAAAACAAAGATGTTGACTGATGAAGAAAAAATGGATACCAAACTTTATGTAGTTCCTAAAAAATTGGCTGCTGGTAAGTTCTTAATATATAGTTAATATACTGTAAATTGTGGTGTATAAGTCAATCTGGTGTACAAATCAACCTCAAAATTTTTTAGCTCAAAATTCTGAGTTAGTCCTATACTTACTGTATAGGTCAACCCCCAAACATACAGTAGGCTACCAGTGGCCCAAAACTTAGGCCTACTGATAAATGAAGTTAAACTACAGTAAACTGCCATTATGTGTCATTAAACTGTCATTATGTGTCATTAAATTGTCCTGGCAATATGCATATCTTACCTTTCTTTTTACCTGCCATGTCCTTTCAGGACGTAGGCAATCATGGCTCTCCACCTCCCTCTATCCCTTGTAGCTCTTAACAAGTTCCTTCTCTCTGCCATCTCCCCCAGACCATGTTCTGTCATCCACTTGCTCAAGCCCGCTAGGTATATCATGCATTGTTTCCCTTTGTCTCTCTTTTCCTTTTTCGACCTGTGAGTATCAGATTCTTCAGGCCCTCTTTTCTCATTATGTGTCTTCAGCTGCCTTTTCCTGATGTTAAGTATAAGCTTCCACCTTGTTTGCATCCTCTAAGACCTCATCATTGTTCACAGGCTCAGTCCATGATATCCTTAGCATCCTTCTGTAGAACCACATCTCTGTTACTTCGAGTCTCTTCTTCATCTTTGAGAAAATTGTCCAACATTCACTGCCATAAAGAACAGATATCACATAACAGCTGAGTTTAGTTGTCTGAATGACCACCTCAGTCAGTGTTTACTCTTAGTGTATCAGTTGTTAGACGTGATTTGTGCTGTAATGTTATTAGAATACTGAATTTATGTTACTATTTTATTATTTTATATTAATTTCTGTAATAATATGATAAATATGTTCACCAAACACAAGAGTTAGTGGGATACATTTGTAATGGCCTATTGAAGATACAGTAAGTAGTGTGCAGTAATTGTTACAAGTGTTGCCTCACTTGTTTACAACTTAGACCCCCGAGTTTTGGAAAGATTTTTTTAGGTTTGAAGACTCTACTTGTATGCCGTAATTTACAGTAATGACTTCTCTCTTTGGGTGTGGCTTCTTTGATGATTTTTGTAGCCTGCCTTACTTAGATGCTACTATATTCATAATGTATTAGGTCAAACTCTGTGCCAGAGAGGTGAACACTCTTAGAAACAACTGGTTTGCTCCAAATTCTATATTGAGACACTAACCATAATATCATTCTGTATTCGTTTATAGCAAACAACCTACAACACACACCAGTAGGTACCATATATTGTATTGGTATAACTTAGCAAACATTAAAAATTTGTCAGGTCTACTGATAAATACACAAAAGTCAACAGCAACTCCTATAAAATATTAATAATGCAGATTACACATCACACCAGGTAGTTTTTTGATAGTACTGCTAAATATCATATGGTATTGTAAAACACAGCATTGCTTATCTGCATTTACATCAGTGATGTAATCAAACAACCAGTGATGTCACCACTTAGTGTATCAGCAGTTAGACACGATGTGTGCAGTAGCATTGATAGAATACTAAAATTGTGTTACTATTTTATTATTTTATATTAATTTCTGTATTAATATGACAAATTACTTAGATACTACCATATTCATAACATGTTAGATCAAACTCTGTACCAACAGTTCCACGGAGGTCAACACTCTTACAAACAACTTTTCATGCTCAAAAGGAATCGGTACAAATTCTATCTTATCAAGCATGGTTTTCTTCCAGGATGAATAATCTTGACAATTGGTTCTCAAACTTTCTTGCCCAGTTCACCATTTTCACCATATGTCAGAATGACATTCCCCACTTTTCCAAAATTGTTTGACTCAAAAGTTTCTTTCCAAATAATATGCATATATTATTAAAAATCTTCATTCTTTTCCATATTAGCACAAAATTCTGAGTGGCCTATGCTTACTGTATAGGTTGACCCCCTAATGTTTACCATATCAGCTATTGGATACAATATTGTAATGTTAATAGAATACTGAATTTATGTTACTATTTTATTATTTTATATTAATTTCTGTGTTAATATGACAAGCATTTTTACAAAAAACACGAGTTTTAATTAAATATATATTTGTGTCAATGAAATCAACGTCTAAGTCAAGTGGTGTACAGCAATTGTTAGGAATATTGTTCCATTTGCTTATAACTTGGTGGTAGAAGTTTGCATTTTAGGCTTGAAAACTTGGCTTGTACATCACAATTTATGGTAGTTAAATTACATGCCCCCATCAGACACCTCAGCACCACTTTTTTTTCAACTTTTGAATAAGATATTGTATATTAAGGACATAATTAGGAATAAACTGTCAAAATTTCATGGATTTGACACAGTTTTGTTTAAATACTTTTGATAGTCTCAGTCATTATGAAGGAAATTGGAAAAATATAATAAAAAATTAAATAATCAGACTTCTTGTTATCTGCATCCAATAATGACATCCCAAATTTCCAGGAACAGGTTCTATAAAGGCAGGTAACCTTTAGGAATTTATTTTGCTTATTATCTTTTCAATATGAGAATGGAAACAAATCACTTTATAGTATCAGAAAGAATTAAACCATTTTGATAATTTAATAGAAAATATCTATCTATCTATCTATCTATCTATCTGCCACAAAAATGAAAGAAAGTCTTGAAATAACAACATGACTTCAGACATTTTTCAATATGAGAATGGAAACAAATCACTTTATAGTATCAGAAAGAATTAAACCATTTCAATAATTTAATAGAAAATATCTATCTATCTATCTATCTATCTATCTATCTATCTATCTATCTATCAGTTTTGAGATGAAAATACTTCAAAATTTTTATAATTATGAATGGGACAAAATTTTTTAGCAGACATTTTTCATTTTTGCTAATATATTAAAAATATTTAATAAACATATTTTTTTTTTTTCATCTATTTTAGGAAACAAATCATAGTTTCTATATATATAAATAAGAATTAAACCATTTCAATAATTTAATAGAAAATATCTAAAACCTATCTATCTATTTATATCTATCTATCTATCTATCTTTTCTATCTATCTATCTTTCATCTATCTATCCCTAAAAATTTTGAAAATTTTAAAGTTGATGAAATAACAACATGACTTCAGACATTTTCCAATATGAGAATGGAAACAAATCACTTTATAGTATCAGAAAGAATTAAACCATTTCAATAATTTAATAGAAAATATCTATCTATCTATCTATCTATCTATCTATCTATCTATCTATCTATCTATCTATCTATCTATCTATCACAAAGATGAAAGAAAGTCTTGAAATAACAACATGACTTCAGACATTTTTCAATATGAGAATAGAAACAAATCACTTTATAGTATCAAAAATAATTAAACAATTTTGATAATTTAATAGAAAATATTTATTTATTAAGATATTTCCAGACTGAAATTCTCTTCTCATCCTATTTCTGTTCATGAATATGATGCTTTTTGACTCTAGTGTCAACAGCTGTCTTATGGTTTCTTAGCCAAATGTGAACTGAATTGCTGCAGTCCCAAAGATCCAATGGAATCAAATTTATAACTAGAATATTTGCCATAATTTATTACTGATTTACTACTATTTACTCCTGCCTCAAAAACAAATCTAGTGTCGCCGACAAAACTAACCTGGCTGTTTGTCTTGAAAAGGACCTCTAATTGCTTGTGAACTGGGGCAGGAATTGGATGGTTAACTTTAATGCCTGAAAAACAAAACTGCTCTTTATTACTCACCAGAGAGAACAATCCCTGCCTCCCATTAGAATGTCTGACGCTCAACTCCACGGGAGCACCACTTTGTGACTGCTCAGTCTCACATTGTCTGCTGACCTGTGATGGAACGAATACATTGAGTCAATAGCTTTGTCCACCGCTACGAAAGTTGGTTCCCTGTGCCGCGCCAGGAAAATTTTTTCTCACCGGAGTCGATCCTTCAAATCTACAAATCAACCATTCGCCCTTGCATGGAGTATTGCTGCCATATATGGTCTGGAGCCCCTTCTGTTTGTCTCAAGGTTCTTGATAAAATCCAGAGACGGATATGCAATGTAATTGGCCCTGATCTGGCATCTCGTCTGCAGCCGCTCTCTCACAGACGTACTGTTCTCTCCCTCTGTCTTTTTACAAATACTTTCATGGTAACTGCTCCAATGAGCTGCTTTCGCTGGTTCCCAGACTTCATGAATTTAAGCGTTCAACTAGGCTGGCATCTCGCTCTCACCCTTTCACTGTCGAAACTGTTAAATGTAGCCGTCTCTTCTACTCCAATAGCTTCATGTCTCACACTTCTCGCCTGTGGAACTCCCTCCCCATTTTCATGTTTTCCTGATAGCTATAATCTCCAACTATTCAAATGTAATGTCAATCGACGTCTCCAGATGCCCTGATCTATCCCCTATACTTCTCTTCATCTTTCCTCTATGTCTCCTCTTTGCTCTAGCTCCAACTCTTTGTAAACCTTTGCGTGCTAATGGCTTCCCGCTTTGCTTGAGATGAAATGCTTAAAAAAAAAAAAAAAAATCCCTATATATTTTATATATATTTATATATATATATATATAAATATATATTTTTGATATTGGCCAATTTTGGTTGAATAATGTTGTTTCAAATTTTGTTATTTGTTTTATATTTTAGTTTTATAAACCAAATGTGAAATGAAATTATTATAGGTATTTCAAAAAAAACAGAATTATTATTTATTTTTGATATGTACATATATATTCCATGTTAAAAGATCTCTTTTTTTGAATTGAAATTAAAATATATTTTTATATAATATATGTTCAAAACAATCATATTCAGCAAAGAGTTGTAATGATAAAAACCTGCTAAAAATCAAAATTTCTTGATTAGAAATTAATCAAGGTACATAAAATATAATATATATATATTTGATGATATTCCATTTACTTATATTTTTTTTTTATTATTTTAAATAGAATTTTTGAAAAATTTTTATAGAAAAATAATGAAATATGTCTTTATTTTAATATTCTTTTTTTAAAAAATAAAACCATGTTTATGATAATCATTCTTTTGTTTTATGGTCAATGATCATTTTGGAATAAATTAAAATCTAAAATGTTGTCTTCCTGAAAATTCTTATCCAAATGCTGAAGAACTCCGAATTTATTGCAAATAATTATTCCATTTGAGAAGGAAATTATCCGTGAAAAATGTAATGAAGCAGAACAAACAATCATAAAATTTCTAAATATAATGATAAAATGTAAAAAGATTACAAATTAATATCCGATCATATAAAAATCCATTGTTAAAATTTTGAAAAAATCAAAAATATTTCCAATTCAAAAATTTAAATAAATATATTTTTTTTATTTGAATAAAAAATGATTTTTAAATGAATTTATTCAGAAAATATTTCTCATTTTTTATTTAAAGAAAAAATGTAAATGTTAAATTTTTGAAAATATGTTATTAAATATTTTCAAAATTAAATTTAATAAAAAACTTATAAAACCAAATATCATTATTGTAGAATATTTTTTTAAAAAAAAAATTTATAAATATGCCATTATATATTTAAAAATGAATAAAAAAAAATTAAAAAAAATTTTTTTAAATTTAAATGTCTTTCATTTTAAATAATTTTTTTTATTCCATAGTATTTAGATTTTTTTTTGAATTTAAGAAAAAACTTTAAAATATTTTCAATTGTAAAAATCATTGTTTCTCTTGTTTTTATTCCATTATAAGATGAATAAATTTGAATTTTATTTTTCTTATATTCATTTTCAATAGGATTTCAAAAAAATTCATAAAAATTTTATTCCAAATAGAAAAAGATTGATTTTTGGATAAAATTCTGAACCTTGTTTTTTCATGTTTTAATGATTTATGAAATCATCTTAAACTTCTTTTGCTTTTATTTAAAAAATTTATTCATAAACAATTACAAATTTTAAAAAAAATGAAGATTTGTCAATTATTATTCATTTTTCAATAGGATAAAAACATTTTATTTATTTATTTTTTATTTAATACTTATTATATTATTTAAATTCTTTTCAAAAAAATTGTCAAATATTATATATATTATATATATATTTCATATATATATATATTTCATCTTGCTTTTTTATTCAATTTTAATTACAAATATTATTTAAGTTGAAATGATTCAAAAGTTTAAATGAATAAATTTATTTTGGTATAGAAATTTAATTATTTTTAAAAAAATTATTAAAAATAAAATTGTTCCTTTTTTCTTTTTTTTTACTTTTCAAAATATAAAATTTTTAAATGGAACAACCTATAAAGTTACTCATACAAAAAAATAAAAAATATAAATTTATGATTGAATATTATTTATAAAAAAATATATATTTGTTTTATGTATTATAGATATATTTATTTTATTTAAAAAAATAATTTCTTTTTCTTTAATTGAAACTATCCTTTTATTTTTATAAAAAGAAAGAAAAAATTTCAAAATTTTGGGTAAAGGAATCCAAAATAAATTTCAAATTATAAAAAGAAAAAGAATTTTATTACCATTTTTCAAAATTAAAGACACTTTTATATATTTTTTATTCTAAACATATAAAATTTAATAACGAAATTACATTAATATTTATAAAAAAAAAAAAATTAGTAAAAATATTGATCATTTTTAAAATTTTTTTCAAATTTTTGTCTTTTTTGTACTTTTTTCTGTTTGACAATTGAATTTGATTTTTAAGCCTTTGAAATGATTATAAAAATTTTTTCAAAAAATATTCAGTGCCTATTTCATTTCTTTTAAAATTTTGAATATAATTTAAAAGAAAATCAAAATTTTAATAATCCTTGGATGAAAAAATGATTTTGTAAAATGTATATATATATTTTATTTTAATGATTGATATATTTATATTTTATAATATATATATATTTATATAAAAAAAATGACAATAAATTGACAATTTAAATAAATTTCAAAAAATTAGTAAATAAAAAATCCTTTTTCTGAAATTCAAATATAAAACCCAAAATAATGGATAAAATAACATTTTTACATTTATATTATACTGCCCTTCCTTTAAATTTTATAAAATTTTATAAAAATTAACAACTATCCTTTAAAAAAAAATAAATAAAAATTATTATTTATTTTGGATTGTGTCATATTATTTTTTTTGTTTTTTTTTTGAAAAAAATAAAATCCTAAATCTATTTATATATATAAATATTTTTAATATATATAAAAACAAACACCAAAATTTTTCATAAAAAAAGACTATAACATTAAAATGGTTAAAAAAATAAAAATCCAAAAAAAAAATTGTGAAAAAAATGCAAAAAAAAATTAATAAAAATTTTTTTACTAAAATTTATTTCAAATACTATCTATGAATATTAATAAATTTTTATCCATAAAAATATTAAATTTATTTCTCATTATATATATATTATTATTTTTATTTTTTTATATTGAATATAGAAAATTTTTTTATTATTTTATATTTTATATATATAAAATAATACATTTTTTATATTTTTTAAATTTTCCAAGAAAAATATGAAAAAATATATATTTAAAAAATAAAAAAATAAATTATATATATATATTTATATATTTAGGTTTTATATAATATATATATATTATATATATATATTAAATGATTACATACATATATTTTTATATATATATATATATATATATATATATATATATATATATATATATATATATATATATTTTGAAAATAAAAAAAAAAAAAAAAAAAAATCTTTAGACACACTGGGTTGTAGATTAATATTCTTTCGTTTTTTTTATTATTATTATTTCATTTAGATTCCTCGACTAGTTTCGACCAAAATGGCCATCATCAGGGAGAAAAATATTTCTGCTTGCTGGTAGCAGTAAACTACAGAAATGAATGTCTTTTGATGGAGAAAATGAACTTTTTGTCTGTAGTTTTCATTTGTTTTTTTTTTTTTTTTATTTTTTAACATGAATCTTTTAACATTCCTTGTGTTGGTCAAACAGTCTCTTTTAAGTTGTTATTTGAGATAAGAACTGGATGGATACATTTTATCTCTGAATTCTCTGGTCAGTTTGACAGTTTTATTGGTCCTGGAGAGGGATGTGTCTCTGTTTAGTGTTTGTGTGTGTTTATTTTTGGTTCTTAGGGAGTGAGTGAGTATGATATGTGTAAGCGTGTGTATTGCTGTGGGTGTGTGTTATCATTTGGCTCATTAGGGAGTGAGTGAGTATGATGTGTGTAAGTGTGTATATTCGTGTGGGTGTGTGTGTATAAGTGTGAGGCCTCCACACCTCCGT